AAGGAAGGGGTACTTAGTGCTCCATTAACTGACACCAAGTGCACTATAAAATTTGAAGCTAACAAATCGTAAAATAAATTAGGGAGTAAATATAAAAGGATTGAAGCGTTAACGAATTTTAACGGAAACTTGGTAAAATGTAAATACAAACTTTGACATCAAAACATCCATTGTATCACCTTCTACACAAAAATAAACGGATAGTGAATACATATAGTGTATTTTGCGATGTTGAATGACTCTAATATTCACACAACTGAAATATAGATTCAGAATATGGAGAATGTTGTCAGCATTTTCGCCAAAAGTCAATGATTTCTTTAAATTTCATAAGATAACACAGAAGCGCAAACGGCCAAAATTACACACAGAAAAACGGTCAATAAAGGCAGTTGAATCGCACCGGAGGATTTATGGTTTTCAAATAACATAAAAATCGACAGGACTACTTTTATATTTTGGTCAATATTTGCCTCTTAAAATTGTGCACCTGTGGCCATTGTGGCGATGTACAATGAAGCAAAGTAATTTCGATCAATTCGTCTTCAAGATTTCACTGTTCGCAATAATACATTGTAATATTTGGGGCCACGCACTACAGGTAGTGACTGAAGATTGTGTTATGAACCACCGAAAATTGCTTTCTGACAGATTGCCGTCTACCTTGGCGATGTGACGGTTAATATACCACGATCAAAATAAATTAAATTTATAGTAGTCTGAACACCAAAATTAAACAAGTTACAAAAATGTATTAGTCGACTTATATATTGGGCGTGCGAATAACATACAAATGCAATATCGTTAAGTTGGAACATATTTTTTCTCAGTATAATAAAAATTCAGCTTTGGCATTATAATATCAAAGTTTATATCACTGGCTATTAAAATCATCCGTGTATATACGAGATTATTAGAACTGAAGTATAAAATCGCAATCAGGAACATTACCAGAAAATATACCTAACTGGTATTCCTAAATTGAACTTTATAATTTGTAGAAAAGTAACAAATCGAAGTGATCGAAAATGATATTATTATTTTCTAACTGGCAGACAAAAAATCGAAAAAAAAGAGTTCAATCTGTTTCAAAATTTAAGAGATTTGTTAAATGCTCTTGATGTTCTTTGCAACAATCGACCAAAATGAAACAATCTGTTAGCATACGTTCCCTACTCCACTCAGTGTAATATTCTGACACAAGAAAGTATGTTATAATTCATTTTTGACATTGAAAATTTCGTCAATTTTTATATCGCAAAAGTAAAAAAAATTTGAAAAATTTTCCCTCTATGATATGATGCGCAATGGTATGGTCGACTCTTGGGGCTTTAATTGGGCGAATATTTTTCCGCTGAGCAAGGCAGGTGTTGAATTGTTTAACCAGCTGTCGAGATCTATGTATACATCATTGCTCGACGGTGTATTAACAACATATCATCATAATATATCGGAAATGAATCAGTAAATATGAAGAACACCCCACAAGGATTTTTCGAATTTCATTTAATTACCAATGATCATTCATTTATCCAGGATAAACGAGCATTCGTGCACGATCCATAGAAACTATATTCATACTGGAAAGTAAAACTACCGTAATCGCTTTTTTATCAGGTTGTCCGATTCAGGAATGCGGTTCACGATGATCACCTCTCAAACATAAGTGGACTTGGCGTGGAGCAAGGTGTGGCCTCAGAGGCTATTTGTGGCGTGACCTCGGCGGCATGCCAAGATTACAACTACATCATTTTGACCTTTACTAGGAATTTTCCCCGAGAACTGATATAAAAATTAAGACATGACATACAATGCAGGATATAAAACATTGATTAGTATCGTTCCACGTTATACGTGTTTTTACTTGGTCCAGCCATATAATGCTGGATACAGAATACAGATACGAATCTGTTCGTTTCTCGCCACAAACGCAGGTTTATACTTTATTTTATACAAGAATTTTCGTCTCCAAGTTCACAAGAATGAAGCAATAAGTCTAAAGAAAAGTGAATAATAGTGCGTCGCAGGATCCAGTAGCGCATATAATTATTTGTTTATATGTTTGGGAATAGAATTTTTAAGAGGCTTCTAAATAATAAATAGAATTTGTGAAATTATTTTTCATGGAAATACAGAGAAAGGGACAATAGTGTATGGTGTGACAAAAGCTGTCAATATCCCATGCTTTACGTAAACCTCCAGACGATAACTTGGAGGTTAAGAAAGGGACAACAGACGACCGACACTATTATTATATTATAAATGCGTTATAATCGCCAAAATAATGAAAGAAATAATTCTCGCTATCACAAGTACAAGACCAGGTCAAATATACTTTACGTTATCTAAAAATGGAAAAGGAATTAATAAGTTTTAATAAGTCTTATCATAGACATTAGTGGTTTACCGTGGGTTGTTATGTATTTAACAACCCACTTGTATACACATTACATACATGCGTGTGTCACGTATGCCGTTTAAACATGCACTTCCATTGAAAAAAACTGTACTTGCTATACTTAGAGAGGAGAATAAAATAATTGTACTGAAACAAGTTTAACGTTTTTTTCAAAATTGGCGATTCTTACTTTAATATATATAACAGTTGTATAAGTATATATATTTAATGTTTACCAGTGGTTCGATTTTGGTCAACGTGACTTGATTTGTTCCCAAGATTGAAAATAATATATATATCGAAGAAGTTTTTTTGGCGCTCCGGAAGTATTCGTACCAAGATGGCGCACAACCAGAACAACCCTAACCTGGTACACATACTATGTTAAGGTTGTGCGCCATCTTGGTACGAATACTTCGGGAGCACCGTTTTTTTTTTATTATGGTCTCATTTGACGGAATCTCAGGTTTAGGCGCAACCCAAGAAAGAACCCAAGCCGAGCTTAATCACAAAATTGTGTGTGGCTTCTTGTTTTGCAAAGAATTGTGGCATAAATTAACAAAATTGTCACTCGTTCATCACCCTAATCTCCAAATACCGTATTCCAAATCAATCCATATTGATGACGGGGGGCGTAATCAGTCAAGTCAAACACACCCTACCAAGTATCCCTAAACCGAGACACCAGTGATTCATACGTGTGGTTGCTGTAGGCCGGAACTAGAATAAATCTTTATCCGTGGTGTTTTTAAAAATAAGAAGTAGGTAATTTTATTTTTAAGAGGCGGAAGTACGATCGATCACTTTTGTTTAACCCAATGGGTTAGTTTGGTAATAACGTGCACCCTACGCGGGTTACCTTTACCAAGTGGCCGTGAATAAATGAATACAAGTCGACTTGGGTGTTCCCAACTACAAAAAACAAACAATTTTACCAAAATAGCGACGTGATAATTAAGTTCTTAATACGTTTACTAACATGGTGGAAAAGTGTGATTATTGAAAACATAGAACCAACGTTTGAGGGCCCACACTATAGTCTGTTCATGATTGCACTACCGCATACGTATCAATGTCGCTTCATGCTGTCGATACTCGCAATGCATTGAGAAAGATACAAAAATATGTGATACGTGACGAGCTAGTTACAGAATAGAAGTGATCACCAAATCTATTGAATTTTACAATTTATCATAAAGTGGAACGGGCAATTTAGTACGCAACTTTCTAATAATTCAGTTAGACAATCTGACAAAATGCTTTTAGCTGGTACTGACGAACGACACGGCCAGCGACTTTGGATAGGACCAATTGAAAAAGAATGTGGTTTGCCTACAGTCAAAATAAATTCATAACTCGCCTTTTATCTTGTAAATCATGGGTGAATGGACGTCGAGGTTACTGTGAATTTGGGTGGTAAGGTCTGACCTGGACGTCCGAAAGCTTTTCTGATATCTTCTTCTGAATTGAACTACGGCAACAACACTTGACTCTGTATTTGACAAACGTAACCCTCCTCTGCTATATTAATATAATTATATATATCTATATACAGCAGATTCAAAATTTCCGCAATACGGATTTGTATTATTACATTCCAAAAAATTAATTCGCGGTCTGAATATGATGCGGTGTGAGCCTAATTATGCATATGAAGTGCGGATGTGGTTGTCTATATTGCAAGTATTTAGTGGTATTACTATCGAGGGCGCGTTCTTGGCATTTTCTTTTTGCCAGTCACCGAAACATAATTCTACAGATGTCGGTGAACTGATCAGTGAGAATTCGGGGCAGTGGTATCACACAAGCGTGCCCCGTTAATTTTCCCATTTCAATATGTTTAATACGCAGATTCACGAGAAATGTCAGCTATAGTTGCAGAGTTATACCATTTTACAAATAGTGGGCCAAAAGTGGGATAACAGTTAAATAACGTTGTGCCTCCTGTGCCTAACACAAATATATTTCTGCAACGTTTCTGAATTGTATGATCATGTTTATTCCTGCACAGCATCCTTGCATTATACGCTTCCACTAGCCGAGCAGCGCAAAGGCATTGAGGAAGGATTGTGAGTTAGTCTCGCGTAAACTTATACTAATAAAAATATGAAGGGTAAATTCAATACGTTGCGAACAAATAATGTTTTAATACATACCCAACAGACTAGAGCGGCCACAGGTAAATCAACTATGGAAAGAACCTTTTGGGTCCGAATTCCGGAATTTGTAAATATTTTCATAATAGTCATCTAGGCGTGCAAGCTGTCGTTGGGGATCAAAGACAATATATTACTTCTGAGGATTACAGTTGAAGCGTATAGAAGCCGATGAAATGAATGGTCCGCACTAAAAACTCCGCAACCGGGTGGTTTTATTGGAATGTGGCGTATCATATGATCCCGGCTGTTATATCAAAAAGGTTGTGCGTGCATATGTCACCGCAATGACGGATGTTTATGATTTGAGTATTACAGAGCGGATATATAAAATACAATACAAGTATTAGGCTGTTTCCTCGTCTTAATTCATTCCTAGCGGAGTTTGTTTTATTAGTCTTGGACGGTAAGCCCTATATGAAAACAAAAGCAATTTTAAAGGTTCAAAGGTGAGTATTGGTTTATTAAAAACAGGTTATTTATGTATTTTCATTATCTGGTAATCCAGCCCACGAATTCAAAACACCACACCATTCAAATAGCAACGAAGATTTCATGTTTCATATTTGATTACCACCATGATTGATAATGAGAAACAACTCATGCTAATATAAAGAAAAGCAATCGCTATTATGAAATGTTTAACACCATGATTTTGAATGAAGCCCTAGACCTGACATAGGCAAATTACGGCCAGTGGGCCAAATATGGCCCGTTGGGTAATTTAATCTGCCCCGCCTGGTGATGCCGCAACCAAATTTTGATGTTTTAGCTAAAAAAAAAAAAAATAGCTTGAGAAATTTGTTGAATTTGATATTAAATTTAGTTTCGGCGCGAAGCTTATTGTTTTTCATTTTTATTTTTGTAAAACTGTAAATATTGTTTATGAAATTTAACACTTACATGGCCCGTTAGTCTAGGTAGGCAAAAACCTTCCCACCCCTGCTCTTGACACAGGGGATCATTTAAATGACGATTGGGACCAAAAAAACATTGCAATAACTCTAACTGACAATGTGCTACTTGGAATGTTAGGCATCGTATTTTATTAACAAGAGAATGGTTGTCACAAAAAAATTCTTCCAACTGATGACATTTTCCTGATGAAGAGAATGATGAGCAACAACTGTCCGCATCATAGCGAGAGCCATAACAACGTACCAGCAACTTCAAATTGCAAGCTACATGTACTAATAATGCTTCAACATCATTTTATTTGTGACTGTAACGTTTTGCTATATTGTTCATACATTTCAACTAATTCTTTAGTAGTTTGTGGAGGAACCGACGCAATGGCCTTTTCAAAATCACGTGACGTAAGTTCTGTAGCGTCCATGTTGTCATCCAGTGCTGCTAGCGCCGCCTCGCGACAAACTGCACAAATCTGAAACACAAAACAATCAGGGATGAACGATGAAACGGTATTGACCAGGGATGCGGAGGCGAAAGAACGAGTCGGAGTTGGTATTATTTCACTGAAACCTTTTAAAAAAAGTCAAAATTTGCTAGAGAAATTAAGCATAAGTATAGTTTAAATTATGATCGTATTTCAGAGCTGGGGTCGGAGTCGATTTTTCTTTACAACCGGTTAAAATTCAAACCCAAAATGTTGTTCAACTCGGAGTCGATTGTAACTTTTCCCCGACTTTACATCCCTAGTATAGACTGCTCTTCCCCAAGAATTGTCTTTAAATACACCAGTGTAGAAAAAAAAATTCGGATGGATTCTAGTCTAGTTGGCTTGAAATAAAAATAATAATAAACATAATGTTTGTAAGTTATCATATATCATATGCAATTTCTGATAGCCTACTGCTAGTGTAACGGCCAAGACATGTTTACTCCCATTGCAAAAATACGATTCGGATATGAATGACTGATATTTAAGGGACATTCATCCCTCGAAGTTATAAATTATGCCTGCCGCGATACATTCAAAATTGATGGTTATCGTTCCAATTATCGGAAAATAATGTATGATGTTCATTAACGATTATCGGATTATTTGCGGAACAACCCGATCTCAATATCACGTTCGTACTAACAGAGCAAAACAAAACTTGACGCATCAACAACCGAAGTGATTCATTTGGCTTTACATTTGAATGCGTTAAAGTAGAATTCAAAACATCGGAACAGCTGCTTACGGCGACATATTTTTAACACGTACCAGTCACCCAAAACTAGAAAACTTAACTGGTATAAAAAAACAATTACGAGGTCAATATCTCGAAAAGACTCGATCTGTATAATCCACGTCGGATAAGGCATTTTGGTCAGGTAAGTTTGAGTTTGGCTCCGATTATTTGACAAAACTTGCTTAGAATTTAGTAAAACAATACGATAAATATTGTATAACTGATTGTGCAATTCAAGCTTATAAAAAATATTTCTTCTATGGTTCCTCTCTAAAAATTATCTCGCTATCAATTCTTGAGAAAACGACAATATTCGGTGGCTTTCACCTCGGAATTATCAATCATAATGAAGGGATTTTGCGAAATTTTTTGAAGTGATCCCGCCAACTAAAAATAGGCGAAATTCTAGATCTAAGATAAGTTTTTCTACGTCATTTAATGCAACATCTACCAAATACAAACAAAACACGCAATACTATACTCCAAATAGCATTCTCAGAGTATCTTTTGCAATGCAGTAGGGCACGCGAAAGTTAAAAATATCCCGACAATTTTGATTTAAAAATAGATCGGAAACTTGGTATGGTTAAAAAATGCACCAAAAATAACAAATACAATAACATGTGGTATTAAATTTAAACTTCAAATAAACTTTTTCATCCGGTAGATCACGGGGTGTCATGTAACATCTGCGGAATATCCTCTATTTCAAAATTGATTCTATTTTTAATAAAAGTTTGTTTCTAAATATAGGCAGACATGATAAAGAAAATTTACAAATCCTCCATCATTCGTTTTCGTTTTCTAAAACAATTTTCAGTGTACAAAGTTTCTAACCCGACATATACGACCATACTTGTTACGGTGTACAACAAAAAATGAATCTCACTTTAAAATGAACAAATTTTCCACAAATTGTGCGTGATTGTTACGTATTTTATGATCATACTTGAACCAGCATACGGAATTACTAACTAAATAAACAATAACAAAAACTGAATGTTTGAAAATTGGCAAGAGCTATAGGGCGAAAGTTGTGTTTTTACAGACGGCTAAGGTCTGTTTGCATGGAAAAGCTGTATATATTTAGGGTTGAGGACCTAAAATTCGCTTGTTTATATGTATTTGTAGTATTAGCGTGATCGTATCTTGGAAGTGGTCTCATACGATGAAAAGTGACGTCCGTGTCTGTTCATGCGCTGATTCTGACAAAAGCGGAGAACAATTTTGTAAAATGTTACCCCCCCCCCCAAAAAAAAAGGAAATTTACAAAAAATTTCAACACTTGAACTTCTGTTTGTGCATGATGGTACTGAGAATATAAATACCGGAAGGTCAGGCCACCCTTCACTATTTCATTAAACTCAGTATACGAAGAAGTAGCAAAACCAAAACGGCGTTAGCACTTTTTAAAACTTATACATCCACAGTAGTACATCTATAGAAAAACACAAACGATAATTAACAGAAATATGTGATCAAATGTAAAGACACTTTCGGAATCTTTGTAGGTAGGTCAAGCGAGACACCGGTGCTTCTTCGTCAGCCGAGTTGATTTATAAATAAGGGGTTTGGCTAATTTTTCTTTGATAGTTATTATTTCTGGAGCGTGAAGAAAGAAGCTTTTAGTCTATTCAGGTGAAAAATCTGCGACTGGACGATGTTCTTGTCAATCGCCACCTCTTGCTTATTACTATATAATATAGTGTTCATTTTACGAATGTGCTGTTGGAAATTTTGAGCAAAAGAGAGAGACAAAAACAAAAAATACATAAACTCCATGACGTCATAATCAACATTGGGAAAAACTTGTTTCGTTTGAATCCATATATGTTCAACATGAGGGATCCAATTTATAGTATATAAATGTACCTAAATATTCTAAAATTATCTTGTGTCTCCAATTGTCATGCCACACTTGCGTGAGTCTTACTTTATATGAGCAAAGTACGGCCCGCGGGCCAAATCCGGCCCGTTGGGTAATTCAATTAGGCCCGCCTGATGCTGCCACAACCAAACTGAAACCAAATTTTGATGTTTTAGATAAAATATAGCTCAAGGAATTTGTTGAGAAATGCATAGAATATAACCTTTTACGTCACACTCATATCGCCCGCCAAAATAATTGAGCAAAACTTTTGGTCCCAGGTTCGAAAACCCTGCCCCCCGTGTTATACACGGTAAATGCACCGAGGCTTTGCCTTTTAGCGACCGCAGTAGCAAGAGGCCATTCGAATGCACATTTCGGAACTAACTCCCAACTTTTTAGAAATGCCAGTATAAATAAACCATTTTCAAATTCGACAAAATCATATTCATAGAATTACAAGTTTTTATTTTTACAATTATTCATACTTCGGCCGGTTACGTGGGTGATGATTTCAAAAAAGTCCCAGATTAAAATTTTAAACAAAGTATAAGGAAGTGGTGGGTTGTGAATATACTCCGAACGATTTCAGGGCTAAATTATTTATGTGTTGTTCATTTTTTATTAGGACATTTTGCTATGTCATAAACCCCGTGATTTCACGTTTTCTGGCATTTAAATGATATCTATATCTATATGAGTCAATGTACTCTGAGGGGGCGTTTTGCTCAAAATATAATTAAAAATTAAAGACGAGAGGGGATTTATCGCGTGAGAGGAAATTTCACATTTGATATATATGACGCAGGTCGGTTTAGGATAGATTTGCTATCTGTGATTATCTGGAAATCGGAAACTGGGGGAGTATGGTTCCGGATGAAAACGTGTTCCCTATGTGACGTCATAGTCGGGGTCAAGTAACGGAATTCAACCCCTAACACCGGGGGCGTCGGAAATATAAACAAAGATCGAGGTTGAAGCGTTGTCCGAGAATGAAATTGAAGATCTTTGACAGACTGTACAAAGTGGTGATTTATTCATAGTCGTGTTAGGTATGGGCCGAAGATAGGTACCCCCAAAAGCGCGTTCCATCAATGGTCCTTGCTCGGCCAAACGTAAATGGCGGAAAAGTGTCGCGTTGCCTCAAAGATGAAATTTCACTTTCGGATTTCGTTATGGATATTGAATAACTAATATTGATATCTAAAACCGGTAACACTGATCTTGCACAAACTTAATGAGCGAAATAAACCGTAAAGATAACATCGAGTCATTTCGGATGGATTTTATACTATTATTTTGGTTATTCGAAATAAATCTTTATCCCTAACGTTCTTAACCGGAAATAATTTACTTTATAATAGTCATATAATTGGCTCTTGTGATTCCGAAGGACTCCTAGCTGACATGGCCAAACGCCGGTACGATGGCCAAATCCGGGCCGTTGGGTGATTCACTCTGGCCCGCCTGATGCTGCCATAACCAAACTAAAACCGAATTTTGATGTTTGGAATTTGGGATTTGTTGAGATTGGAATTAAATTTAGTTTTGATACGAGGGTTATTGTTCTCCACTTTTGCTTTTGTAACACTGTAAATATTGTTCATGAAATGTAACTTTTTCGGCACACTTACATGGCCCGCCACCCAAACCTTGCCCGCCCATGCTCTAATACTTCCGAAAAGATATCAGTTTCCCAAAAATAGTATTTATCATACCCGAATTCTCGATATGAAATTAAAGTGAGATATAATTTATAAATAAATAAAAATACAAGGAGATTTCTATATAAAATGTCTGCATCGGGTCGTTCAGGGCTGGCTTTCGCCCACTGCAACCTATAATGCACCGGCACCTTATACAGAATACATTGGAGCTCGTTACTTAAATCGTAATTATGAACTTATTTAGGGTGATAAAATGTGAATTTGAAATTTCAGCGTCTGACAGAATTTCAATTTTTGGTTTTTAATTACCTTCCTCGTCACCCGACGTAAGGCGCTCGCATGGGGACACGGGATTTGAGCATGGCCCTGAGATTAATCCTGGTAAGTGTTGTCTTCCGACGATTAGAGAAAGATATAAAACGCTACTGAGTAAAATTGATTGCAGTGGCCATTTGTGACCCATTGGTGGCTTTGGCAAAATTCCTAGTCTGTCATCCATTTTTTCGAACCAGAAATAGTCGATATAATAATATAACAGACAATAGACATGGGAATTGTTATATTCTCTAACTAAATCAAGCACAAGTCTTGAGAAACGGAAAAATCCATTTATTCTAATCTCCAGCAGGATGTAAAAAAATGGCCTTTCTCTTTTTTCGGAACAAAGAATATTTCAACCCCAACAAGCTCCTTGAAATTCTACACCAAAAAT